TGTTTAGGATGCGGTGGAAAGACCGGTCTGTTATGCCTGTTGAGTATGAAAACAGCTTACCCGTCAGCGGTGTTGATGCTTTTTAAATTTTAATGTTCCTACGATCTATTAAAATTGGTTCTGTCAGGATTTCTGTATCCGATTAATCCCGTCGTTTTAAAAGCCTCTTCCTTGGTGCTTTGGGTTTTTCCTCCAATATGTTTACCTCATGCAGCTTCACCTGAATGGAGGTTACATTGTTGGACACATAGATGCTCTCGATTTTGACGATCGCATCAAGACGAAACCTCTTGTCCTGGTATTTCTTGTGGTCTACGGGATCGTCTCCTTTCGGAGGGTATATCTCCGTTTCGCCGTCGATCTTTACGTATAGTGTTGGAATACTGCCTTTCCGGTAAAGACCTTTCATAATGTTTTCACCCGACTTACCTACGTGATCGGCGGACTCCTTTTCCACCAGTTTCAGGGCTGGCACAAACTCCTCTTTATCATTCTGGGCTAGGGAGATGGAGTAATTGTCCTTACCGAACTTGTTGTTTTTGCTCACTCCATAGGAGTTCCAATAGAAGTGGACCCTGGTCTTGTGCCGTTAAGGTGAACGATGAACGTGTGTTTTAATCTATTCGACATTGCTCAACGAATTTTAGGTGTAACTTTACCAAATTTTCAGTGAAGAAAGCCAGGAAAATGCTGATTTCAAAAATGTCCATTTGATGTGTGTTCTGTTTAAACATTTTCAGTATTGGCTGACTGAGTAAATATGTAGGTACCTTCATAGAAAAATCAAAATATGTTTATAGTTTACTTCAACGATTGTTTAGATATTGCAATTCGAATCTTCGTAGGCATGGTAAAAAAACGTGTGCGGAAGATTTCTCTTCTTTAGTGGTTTTTCTGATATGCCCTGATTCTTGGATTTGTCACTGATAATTCACGAAGTTGTCGAAGAAAACGTCATATCAGAAAAACCATTGAAGAAGAGAAATTTTCCGCACACGTTTTTTTACCGTACCTACGAAGATTCAAATCGATATATGTAGACAAACATTGAGGTAAACTATAAATATATTTTAATTTTTTTATGGGATACCTATATATTTCTTTAGTCAGCCAATACTGGACATGTTTAAACAGAACACCCATCAAATGAAGATTTTAGAAATCAGCATTTTTTTGGCTTTCTTCACTAAAAATTTGGTAAAGTTACACCTAAAATTCGTTGCGCCATGTTCAATAAACTAAAGCGCACGTTCATCATGTGAAGTAACCCTAATTTCATCTTCTTGGACCCGTAACTGTTTTCGACGGCATCTTCGAAAGCGAACGAGTCTTTGGAAAAGTTTGAAACTTTGGTAATGGACATCCATTTTATTATATACAATTTTTTTTTTCAAAAACTGCTCAACCGGAAGTGACGTCATAGATCACGCGATCCAAATCTGCGCGGAGGGGGTTCGCAGCGCGAGGGTTTGGGTAGGCTTTGGGTAGGCTTAGGGTAGGCTTAGGGTAAGTTTACGGTAGCCTTAGGGTAGGCTTAGGGTAGGCTTAGGGGAGGCTTAGGGTAGACCTTAGGTAGGCTTAGGCAAGACTTCCCAAGGCGGGGGTGGCGGGGGCTGAGCATGCGTGGTTTTCGTGGGCGGGGGGTGACGTCATAGTCAAGGGCGGGTCTGGGCAAGCCTGATTGTGAGCCAAGGGTGACGTCATCGGAGGGGTGGGAGTGGTGTGCAGTTGTGGTTAATTGATTTTGAACAAAATTATCCCTTATTATCCCTCATTATCCTAGGGAGGCAAAATTATCCCTCATTATCCCTAATTATCCTTCTGTTCAAGAACCCGCCATTCTCCACTACTATCTTAATATTAATTTTTCTTTTATGTGTTAGTTTTGGCATTCATGATGTTAGTTTTCCATTTGTGATTTTAGTTTTGGCATTTTGATCTTAGTTTTTCTTTTATGATGGTAGTTTTGGCATTTATGACGTCAGTTTTCCTTTTATGGTTTTAGTTTTGGCATTTATGATGTTAGTTTTCCTTTTATGCTGCTAGTTTTGGTATTATGATCTTAGTTTTTGTTTTATGATTTTAGTTTTGGCATTTATGATGTTAGCTTAATTTCCTTTTATGATTTTAGTTTTGGCATTTAAGTTGTTAGTTTTCCTTTTATGATATTAGTTTTGGTATTTGATCTTAGGTTTTCTTTTATGATGTTAGTTTTGGCATTTATGACGTTAGTTTTTATTTTATGATTTTAGATTTGGCAATTATGATGTTAGCTTAATTTCCTTTTGTGATTTTAGTTTTGGCATTTATGATGTTAGTTTTTCTTTTATGATGTTAGTTTTGGTATATGATCTTAGTTTTTCTTTTATTATGTTAGTTTTGGCATTTATGATGTTAGTTTTCCATTTGTGATTTTAGTTTTCGCATTATGAACTTAGTTTTTCTGTTATGATTTTAGTTTTGGAATTTATGATGTTAGTTTTCCTTTTATGATGTTAGTTTTCCTTTTATGGTTTTAGTTTTGGCATTTATGATGTTAGTTTTCCTTTATGCTGTTAGTTTTGGTATTATGATCTTAGTTTTTCTTTTATGATTTTAGTTTTGGCATTTATGATGTTAGTTTTCCTTTTATGATGTTAGTTTTGGTATTATGATCTTAGTTTTTCTTTTATGATGTTAGTTTTGGCATTTATGATGTTAGTTTTCCTTTTATGATTATTAGTTTTGGTGTTATGATCTTAGTTATTCTTTTATGATGTTGGTTTTGGCGTTTATGATGTTAGTTTTTCTTTTATGATTTTAGTTTTGGCAGTTATGATGTTAGTTAGCTTAATTTCCTTTTATGATTTTAGTTTTGGCATTTATGATGTTAGTTTTCTATTTATGTCGCTAGTTTTGGTATTATAATCTTAGTTTTTGTTTTATGATGTTAGTTTTGGCATTTATGATGTTAGTTTTTCTTTTATGATTTTAGTTTTGGTATTATGATCTTAGTTTTTCTTTTATGATGTTAGTTTTGGCATTTATGATGTTAGTTTTCCATTTGTGATTTTAGTTTTGGCATTATGATCTTAGTTTTTCTTTTATGATGGTAGTTTTGGCATTTATGACGTTAGTTTTCCTTTTATGGTTTTAGTTTTGTTCAATCCCTTGGTGTCCTTCAATTCGTGAAGGTTGTCTAATGTTTTCTTTTGTTGTTGGGTGGAGACGACAGTTCTTCCGTTCATAAGTAAGATAGAGTTCTCTCCAACAAGGCATGTAGAGGTTATGACGAATGGATCAAAAGGGGCGTGCTTCTTCTTCGACTTCATTTGGCATTTTAGGCCAAACAAATTGGACATAATGGATGACTTTCAAGAGTGTATCATCAGCTTGTTGATGGTGGAAAAACTCCTGAAGCTGACTGGCAGTAGTGGACTTGTCAACAAAGTGAACATTCATAGTTCATCTTCAAGAGAAGGTTCATCAACTGGAAAACGGGAGAGTGCGTCTGCAGCGAGGTGATGTTTGCCTTTAATTCATTCTGCAGTAAACGTATAAGGCAGCATTTTGATCATGAGGCGTTGCAGGCGACGATTTTCGACATCAGCAATCCCTTTCAATTCAGGATGGGAATAAGGGGTTGGTAATCGGTGACGAGTTTGAAGTAAGGTAGGCCCCGAAGGAACATGTCACATTTCTTCATGGTCCAGCAAGAACCAAGAGCTTCCAGTTCTATTATAGCATAGCGGCTTTCGGTGGGGGTCAAGAATCTGGAACCCGCTTGCACAGGCTTCCATACACCGTCAACCATTTGTAGAAGGACAAAACCAAGACCGTGCAGACGAGATGCATCAGTGGCGAGCAAAGTTGAACGGTTGACAGCAAAGTAGGTTAGAACAGGTGGTGAGCTAAGGCGACGTTTAGCTTAGTTGAATGTTTGCTCATGCTCTGGCAACCAGAGGTAACATGAGTTCTTCTGAAGCAGAGGGCGAAAAGGTTCCATGATTTGGGTTATCTCCTGGGAATAATGGCCAAATTGATTCACCAGACCAAACCAGTAGCGTAGATCAGTAAGATTCTTCGGTCGTAGAAAATCGCGGATGGACTTGAGGAGATCTGAACTGGATTGGATGCCCAACTCCTACAGGTGAAATCCGCCAAAATCAGCTTCAGTGACAGCTATCTGGGACATTGAACGCTTCAATGTGACCCCATGCTTGGAGCATCGGTCTAGGAAGGCGTGAACGCGTTTCTTCAAAGCAGAGAGGGTTGGTGCATAGACGAGAACATCATCTACGATTTTACGTATACCTTGTAAGCCATTGACAACTTTGTCCATGCGAAGGTTGTAGCACTCACTGATACTGCTGATTCCGAATGCGGCTTGATTACACACATATCTACCAAAGGGTGTGATGAAACAGGTCAAGGGACGAGACTCAGGGTGCAGTGGAATTTGCCAGTAGCCATGACGAGCGTCGAATTTGCAGAAATATTTGAGCTCTTCAGCAGGAATGCTTGTTACAGCTTCGAAGGGTGAATTACTAGGGTAGAATTTACGCTGGATAAACTTATTGAGGCGGGTGAAGTCAATGCAGATTCTCAGTTCGTCACTATCTTTCTTAGGTACAATAACGATTGGATGACACCAAGTGCTTGGCTCTTCATGATCATGGACTGAGGATAACACCAAGACGTTCCACTTCATCAAGTTGCTTCTTAAGTTGATCCATGTAGAGAATCGAGATTTTCCTTGCCTTCGCTTGGCATAGGGTTGAAAATCAGGTTTGAGATTAATCTTGAAGGCATCAAATTTCATCTCCGGGAAATTTTTTTCATCAAAAATATCATTATAAGATAGGAAAAGTGGAGTGAAATTTGTGTCCTCAGTGTAGTTAATGTTCTGTCCATTTGCAATAACAGAAGTGACTTTGACTAATGTATCAGAAGGATGTAGGTTGGCAATCCAAATCAGACAAAAGTTCATCATCAGACGTGCAAGGGTTTGGAACCGGATGGTCGACTTCGGTCTGTTTGTCGTCACATATCTGAGGGTTGTTTTCTGATGCGTCTAGGACATTCACTGAGGAGGGATGGTTAAGGTCCCGAAGTAGTGCAGAATTAGGCCAGTCATCATCAAT